CATATATACCTTTATATTGTAACAACACGTATTTCTGTATTTGATGCTCTTCCTGAGGATGACCTAGCCGCCTCGAGTCAAGACCATCACAATAGTTCAAGAATAACCACTTTATTTCCGACTTACGGAATACGCCTCCGCTATATCGATTTATTACTTAAATCCGGTTATAATTATGGGATAAATAAATAAAAATTGGGAAAACGTCTTTTGGAGGCTGTTAGTTGTTTGGAAATAACAATTGTTTCCGATGATTTTGCAATCGATAACAATCATTTGGGAAGTGAAGTAATAGAAGTAATCGTTTGTTATACTAGTGAACGAGTCTATATACAGATTTACATTAAAATCATAATTAAATTGACTTTTTTTCATATTATTTTTATTCATTTTTTTCTATTCTAATCTAATTTTTACAATTATTTATAAGAATAACACCACTAGGCACACTAGGCAAATCGGTATCAAACTAGTAACTCAGGAGATTGAATGTAAAAAACAATAGTTACAAAAAATGTGGTAATAAATATGGTAATTTAAGATATATTTGATCGGTATAAGAGGAGACTATATTGTTAATCTGGGGTGTGTCAATGTAGATAACCAAAAGAAAGGCTACGGAAAAGGTGGACCGATGAAATGGCAGCGGTCGTACAAAATTTACTAGACGAGATTAGCGCGGCATTGAAGTTATACTTTTAGCATAAAGATTTACATAACAAGACATGGACGAAAAAATCCTTTGAAACTGAAAGTTTAACATTAAAATATGTTTTCTCATATATGACTCAATTATAGTTAATTATTGTATTACATGTGCTAAGCTTAATGTATAAATCCTCAATTACTTGAGAACCAAACGGTATTTAGATGAAAATCACATGTACCCAATATCATCAAAAGTCCTTTGCGTTGTTCCTTATGTTGTTGCTGACAGGAATGAGCAAAGGTTAAACATATCCGATGGAGATATTCTAAGAGCTTTTATCAGAAATGTCAATAACTTTTCAATCAATAACGCTACTCTCAAACAAATAATAGTTGCTGTTCTGTTCGTATTTGCAATATAGTTAATTTTTTTTTATTAGTTAATATTGTAAATTCTATAATAAAGATGTGATATTATAATAAAATGTCGATAACCCATCGATGTGCTAATAATCGATAAACTTTATCTGTAGTAAAAGAGGTGAGAGAAATGATAATAAAGTATTACCAGAGAAGTAATAGTAATAGTAAAGTAGTATACAGGTAGTAAACTTTTTGATATTCTCATCAACTGAATTTCGAATATACTCTTACCCGTAAAAGCAACCAGACACCTGAAATGTCATAGTTTTTTTTTGTTTTAGTTTAGTCGAATTGCCTTGTATAATAATTAAATATATTTATTAAAATATAAGTTACTTTTATCCATTCATTTGATGTTTTAAACAGTTAAAAAGTTTGTCTTTTTTTGTGGCTGAACAAAAAATTTGTTAGGTGCCTTCGATAAATTGAATATTTATTTAAAATAATGCTTGTTAAATTAAATGTATTTCTTCTTGGTGTATGTTGGCTACTTTTTTAGATAAAAAAAAATTGTTTTTAATGACAACGAATAATTTGTATTAAGACGAAGTCAAGTAACTGAAGCTGTTGCTCTTCATAATGATGAGCGTCATATTCGATATTACTCAAAAATGCTTGGCGTGTTGCGAAGTACAATATCTGATGCCTTAAAAAGGTTTCGAGAAACTGGGTCTTACTCAAAGAGACCTGTAAAGGGAAGACCAAGGTCAAGAAACGCCATGGAATCTCGGTTTCTTAGACTTTAAGTCCTTCGAGAGCGGACAGTTACTGTTACAGTTTCGACTAGAAGACTGGTAAATGTTCATGGTACCATAGTTTCACCTGACACGATACGTCGACAATTGAGCAAACACAATTTATTTATTATCTTATGTACCTAGTAGAGACCTTTTATTAGACGCAGTTTATTGGAGAAACGTTTTGTATAATGCTGATTGGTACATTAGGGAATATCTGGAAGAACATGTGTTACCTTATATGCATTTGTTTAGTAAAACTGATTTTTTAATGCAGAATAATACTCAGCAGCCAAGATAACAATGCAATACTTTACAGATGATGGTATTCAGTTAGTAGCCCGGCCTCCTAGAAGTCCGGACCTTAAACCGATAGAGCATTTGTGGGATAACTTGAGAAGGGCAGTTAGGAATTTTGTTTATATATCATCATTTGTTATTAAACATTTTACCTCTAGGTCATCCAGAGAAATAAAGTTTTAATTTTTATAAAGAAATATATTTGAAAGCATCATTTTGTAATGAACATTTCTGTTTTGTAAATTAAAACCTTAATACATTCAGTTAAACTGAGTTTTCATTATTACACCATTACACATTACGGAGTAAGTTTTTATTAATCTTATCTTTTATTGGACAGCAAAAAGATTCTAATAGTTTTTAATTAAGACCCAACAGGGTAATGTGATTATTCCTTTTTTGGACAATTTAGGAAAATATTTTATCTATTTCTTCTGTTGTGTTTATATTTTTAGTTTTTTTGTTTGTTTATGAATCCTTTAATGTGTATGATGCTAAAGTTTTCCTTCTCGCTCAAAGAAAAGATAAACTGGCGACCTTTTGTCTTTGTATTTGGTTAAATTTTTGTTTATTTTTTTCAGTTCGAATGATTATTTTTGTTACTCTGTCTAACAACATACCTTACTTAGAGATCTGTAGACCCACTTCCCAAATCTCGTTGTTTTGTCCTTCAAAACAACTGATAGCCGTGGCAGAGTAAATAACTTAGACCTGGAATTATCCATTTCTCTTTAATTCCAAGATTAAATTTCCCATTGGGTTAATTTTTTCATTGCCTAAAATAATACCCAACTTCTGGGCACATTTTCTTCCCGTGCAGGATCAATTCACATTACGTGTTCGTTCCACAATTGTTTCGTGTTTAGTACTCAACCATTAATATCGTTTAACAAACATGTATTTCTTATATTTCGACTTTTTTCTCAGTTTAAAACAGTCTTCAGTGAAAGAGTTTTCAGTGAAAATTCTTTTAAGATTTGATGTCATGAATAAGTGATTTTGACCACATAATTTGGGTACCTATATTATACCCAGAGTAAAAACTATTTGGTGTTAAATCGGTAGATCGGGGTAACTATTGAATAGTTTTGTTCCTTATTATTATCCTTTAAGAAACAGTCATATTAAGAAAAGTCATACCACTGACTTTTCTTGTAATACGAATTTCGTAATAATAAACAAATATTTACTATTAAAATTAATTCCGAATTTTAAAGGCAATGAAAAATAATATTCTGCAGTAAATTTAGATATTTTAGTGCAGTCAAATTTGCTTTACAGAAAAATGGGTCGACTATATGAATATATCCCATAAATAACACACCGCGTATTTAATTCCGCTTTAATTTAAAAATATTGCATATTCTCGTCTTATCAATAAACTTTGTCCTTCGTATTCTTTTTAAAATTAAAAAAAGCTGAATTTTGCAGAGAATATTAATTTTGGAACCTCAAAAAAGATGAAAAAAAGTTTACCACTTTTGCCCTTGGGCTTCTCCCTAAAACCTCCCTCGCAGGGGGGTCAAAATGCCAAAACAATATATTTACCAAGAATCTGTACCCGTAGAAAAAAATGTTTTAAATAATAATGTAGCTAAGATAATAACAAACAAAAATGTTTAATAAGCATTAGTTGTGTACAATAAATCGTTCTCGTAGAAACAACACTTGCAGCGACAATCGATTTTAAATGTCAGTTAGGCGCGCGAAATTAATGTTTAATAAAATTTGTATCAGCTCGATGGTACAAATTCGATACTTTTTTTATCCAAATGTCCTATCGACAAAAATTAAGAGGTTTTTAGAGCTTTCGTATCCAATTTTTATATTTTGCCAAGAATAAACTCTACGTTCTTTTATTACGATTCTCGTGAGATCAATAAAATTGATTACTTTCATTGACCAGTTGTAGTAAAATAATTAGAGATCAGTCTTTAAAACCTATAACATTAAATTTCAATTTTGAGTTGTGGTAACAAATATAAGGCATTTGAAATATGAATAAAGAATGCAGATTTTATTGTTTTACATTACAAACGATCACACTTTACGGAAAATGGATTTACGAAGACGGTTTTGGCTGTAGTTTATTGCAGAACTTTTGTTGTTTTGAAAAACATACTAGTGTAATTAAAATAAACAAATTTTAATTGTTTTAGATCGTCTGTTGTGTGAAAGTTTTAAATCCAACGTTTTTTGTGCACATTTCAAATGCCTCAGATTTATTGCCAAAATTCAAAACTAAAATTGAATACTATAGGTTTTAAAGGTTAGGCTCTAGTAATTGAAACTTCATATAACTGGTCAATTAAAGGAATGTATTGCATTGATCATGTGAGAATTATAAAAAATGACAAAAATCACGCTACATTTATGTATTTAATATCAAGGTCACTTGAATCAAAAGATATCAAATTTTTACCGTCGAGCTGATACAAATTTTATTTAACATTGATTTCGCGCGCGTAACTGACATGCAAAATCGACGGTCGCTTCAAGCGTTGTTCATTCCATACAAAAAATGCTTATAAACATTTTTGTTTAAAATTATCTTAAACTACGTTTTTAATTAGCTACATTTTTTATTTAAAACATTTTCTTTTCTACAGTACTTTGTACAGTTTCTTGGTAAATAGATTTTTTGCGTTTTTACCCCCTGCGAAGGGGTCTTTAAGGGAAGCCCATAGGGAAAAGTGGTAAACTTTTTTGCATCTTTCTTGGAGTCACAAAATTAATATTCTCGTCAAAATTCAGCTTGTTCGTATGCATTTTAGAGGTTCAGTGGCATTTTCATCTCTGGCGACTAGAGTACAAAATATACTGATAAAATATCTTTCCGATATTTTTACAAAACAAAACACGTCCTTCTTATTATTATTATTATTTTTTTAGAGTATGCTGATAGATGTGATCGAATAGATGTGATCGATTCAATATCCGTGTTTCTTCTAACACGTTTCCAGTCGCTTTTGGAATAATCTTCTGCTATTTGACCACTGTCACGTGATTGATTATTTCAGCATTGACATAAATCGCAATATCCCATTTTAGTAGTTCTTTGAGTATACATATATATATATATATATATATATATATATATATATATATATATATATATATATATATATATATATATGTATATATATTTGTTTTGCGTGCTAAGCATTGTTATTGGTTTTACAAGACAAAATTATCTAACGAAATATTTTTGGATTCATCCTACGCGAATACACATACCAAATTATGTAGATTCAATTTCCACTGCAAGTAGAAAACTTAAACATAAGAAATAAAAAATAAAGTTGATGTGAAATGTATTTTATGAAAATTTAATTGATATTTAGTTGTTTATTTTGAATAGTTCATTAACTCCACCTCGTTATCAACTCAGGACACGACAATAATAGTACATTTAACATCTAGCATAAAATAGTATAAGATTTATTTTTTAGTTAAGCATGATTGACTATGGTGAAATTTGTACCTCTCGCTTTTAATTGGAATGCCTGTTAATTCGACAATTGCCATGCAATGCACGATTTTTCTTAAATGTGCACTATATAAATTAAACAAAGTTAAACTTTTGTACTCCACCTTTATCGTAATCATAAACGGCATAAAATTCCACCAAAATTAAAGAGATTTTATAAGTTGGGATCGAAACGTCAAAATAAACTTGTGTAGTAAAATTGAGATTTCTTCCAAGTAAAAATAGTAAAATTAAAGAGGAGTAAAAGATTGTATTCAAATTTATTAAGTAAATTTTTTAAACTGTAATACACATAGAACATTGAAGCAATAAGAACAGAAACCATATTGAAACTGGCAAACACACCAATTTTTAAAACCACATCACATCGCCGAAATGTGCAGCCTCAATTACATCTAATGAAACTATTATTTTTTTTATTTATTTATAAACTCGCATCAGCCTGTAAGACTATAAGCGCAAAAAGAAAAAGTATTTACAATAATTGAATACCGTAACAATTAAATTTTGTATAAATAGTTGATTGCTTTTAGATATTGGATAATCACTTTGGCACCGCACTTTAAGAATAGTCCTCTCAAATTCTCCGGGATTCCGAATCTACATCTTTCCGCACTATGTAACGGGCACTCCACTAGAAGGTGTTTTACTATTAGCGGAGTCTCGCAAGCATAACACTTGGTTGGGGATCCCTTGTCATCAGATGTCCATGCGTAAGGCGACTATAACCAAGCCGCAGTCGTGTGATGATAACCTGAGAAAAACGATTCGTGGAACTATCAGACCAGGGTGAAATATTGATTTTATCTCAAGTAATTTTGTCTGTTTTTTGTGCTCTCTGCTATTCCATATGTCAACTATTTTGCTTTGGAAATATGATTTGAGATCTGTCGCTGTAGTTTTTGGGTAGAACTCAGTAGTTGTGTCCTCTAAGGCTTCTCGTGCATATTTATCCACCAAATCGTTTCCCGTGATACCAATATGGGACTATTAGTTTTATTTATAGGATTTTTACAAAAAATAGACTGGAGGTTTTGATGGGGTTGTCCGGTAGGATTCTCTGAAGATCATGAAAGTATTTAAAAAAGCAACTGTGGTGCAAGAGTTATGCACATCCTTAATTTTATTTAAAAAATATCACGTTTTATGAGATTTTATAGCCATATCGCATTACAGAATAGTATTGTAGGAGTTCTGGAACTTTTTTCATTTATAAATGGTTAGATACTATACAAAACACCGCATAATAATTCTCTATTTGCATATTCTGCAAACACCGTAGAATAATTCTAGGAGCTTACAGAATAACGCATTTAGAAAATCTGTACGGCGAATTAGGCGAACCATCACTATCTATCAGACGACAAATTCTCAGTTTATCATATGCCTCAAGAGTATGGCTCAAGAGTAACATCGTTTCCATCAATTCCTGCTCACATAAACACGTTTAGTAATCGTTTTAAAACAAGTTTTCAAAATAGCACCTCCCAGTACCTTTTTATTAGATTTCGCGGCCACATATTAACGTTAAATCTCCAAAACTTTTCCAGAACATGGTTAATGAATGGAAACAGAATTTCTTCGTGTATTATCAAAATCCCATATGTAAACACCCAATTAACGCAATGTTATAAATATAATACTAATCCATATGCAATATATTGAAATTATAAACAAATAATCTCAAAATACTAAAATTACAATAACATCTTTACTGATTCATTTAAGTCTTTCCAAGGCGTAGGAGCAACAATGTTTATAAACAACGATACCCATTAGTTATTTAAGCTTTCCAGTTCGTACCGTATCTTAAAGGTAGAATTTAATGCCATACTTTTTTTTATAGCCCTTTTTCTATCCGAGTTGTTGAATAAAGGCCTCTCCCATTTCTCGCCATTCATCCCTGTTGTGTGCTAGGCGTTTCCACATTGGTCCTGCGACTCTTTCGATATCGTCGCTCCAGCGCATTTGAGGTCTTCCTCTTGGTCTCTTCGTATCGTACGGTCGCCAGTTTTCGACTTCTTTGTTCCATCTACCATCTCGAGACACTCGTTGTGTCCAGCCCATTTCCATTTTAATTAATCTGCTTGTTTCGCGGCGTCCTTTATTTTTGTTTTGTTCCGGATTGCTTCGTTCGTTTGCCGATCTATTAGTGAGATACCAAGCATCTGTCGTTCCATGGCTCGCTGAGTTTTTCGAATCTTGTCCATGTTCTTTTTTGTAAATGCCCAGGTTTGAGCTCCGTAAGTGAGAACGGGAAGGATACAAGAATCGAACACTTTGGTTCGAAGGTTTTGGGGTATCTTTTTGTCTTTCAGTATGTATGAGAGTTTTCCAAATGCGGCCCATCCCATTCTTACTCATCTGCTTATTTCGGTAGTTTGGTTTTCTTTGTTTACCTTGCTATTCTGACCCAGATATATGTATTCTTCTACATGTTCCACTTTTGTTCCTTGGATGGTTATCGTAGGTTGATCATCTTTATTCGACATTAGCTTAGTTTTACTCAGATTCATTTTCAGTCCTTTTTTATGGATTCCGTATGAAGCTCATCGATCATCGTCTTCAGTTCTTTCCAGCTGTCGGCTATTAGTACTACGTCATCTGCATATCTTAGATGGTTTAAATACTTTCCGTTTATCGATAGTTCCTTTGTTTCCCAATTTAGTGATTTAAAGATGTCTTCAAGTGCGGCAGTAAATAGTTTTGGAGATATGGTGTCTCCCTGTCTTACTCTCCGGCTGATTTTTATTGGCCTCGTTTTCATTCCGTTATCCATCGTGACACCATTTCAGCATGTTGATATATATTATGTATTAATATCCTATATCTAGAATCTGTTCTGCTGTTGACCAGTGCTTTCTCAATAGCCGATAATTATATGCTGTCAAAAGCTTTCTCATAGTCTATAAATGCTAAACAGATTGGTAAATTGTATTCGTTAACTTTTTCTATTTGGACCTTTAGTGTGTGAAGATGGTCACACGTACTCAACCCTTTTCTAAATCCGGCTTACTCTACTGGTCGATATACATCGAACTTTGTTGTCAATCTATTTGTAATTATTTTTGTGAATGTTTCATAAAGTTGTGATAGTAGTGATATTGGACGATAATTTTTGAGATCTGTATTGTCCCCTTTTTTGTGTATTAATATTGTGTTAGCGGTATTTCATTCCTTTGGTATATTTCCTTCAAATAGGCATTTATTAAAAAGTATTTTTAGGTACTTGATGACTTCTTCTCCGCCTTCTTTCAACATTTCTGCCAGAATTCCATCACTACCCGGTGCTTTATTTCTTTTCATTTCTTTAATTGCATTTTCTATTTCTACTTCGCTTATTTCGAGCATTACTTCAGAATTTACGTTTGTTATTTGTCTTTTCAGATTTTGCTTTGAAGAGTCGGGGGGATCGTTTCTTGAGCGGTATAACTCAGTATAGAAGTTTTCAACTATGTTTGATATCTGAGCTTTGCTTGTTTCTAGTTGGCCTTTGGCCTTGTTGATTTTTCATAGTTATAATATTTTTCTTTCCTAATTTCGGTTTGGTATATTTCAGACTCCGATTTTTCTCTATCACTCTTTCTACATGTTCTTGTTGATGTTTTTTAATATCGTCTTTTATCTGTTTTCGTATGGCTCGATTAAGTTTTTTGTATTCTGTGGTATTTCTTTTGTTTAGTGACAGGAGCTCTTTTCGTTGTTTCAGCATATTCTTCGATTCTGCACTTATTTTGGATTTTTTGTTGTTATCGACTTTTAGCTTTTCTGTGTCTATTTGTATCGTGTTATTAAAGTTAATTCTACGTTTGCTATACTTAATCCTTAGTTTAGCTCTAACCATTCTGTGATCACTATCCAGAGAGACATTATTTATTACTGTTACATCTTCTACGATAACTTTCTTGTTAAACATGATGTAATCGATTTCGTTCCTTGTTTTTCCGTCTGGTGATAACCCCGTCCACTTTCTTTGCGGTTTTTTCTTATAAAATGTGTTCATTACGAAATATTTGTTGCTACGTAGGAAGTTAACCAGGGTTTCTCCTCTCTCATTTCTAACACCATAGCCGAATTCACCAATATAGTTTTTACTTTCTTGTAGTCGTTGTCCAATCTTAGCGTTGAAATCTCCTATTATAAGTGTATAAGTGCTGTGATAGTTCGTGTTGGTTTCTATTATTTTCTCGTAGATCTTATCTATCTCTTCATCGGGGTGCGTTGAAGTTGGGGCGTACACTTGAATGATTTTTAGGGTGATTTTCTCGTTTATATTCATCACAATCATTGCAATTCTTTCTGAGACTCCTACATATTGTTCTATTTTATTAGCATGTTTCTTAGTAACCAGATATCCTACGCCGTTTAGACTTTGTTCTTTGTGCCCTTTGTAATACAAGATGTTACCTGATTGCAATGTTATGCGCTC